TAAGTTCAAAGATGTATCCTCATTATTTCTTTTTTGTTTTAAAGATTTATTTCCATCTATTTATGAGAACAGGGGGGTAGGCCAAAGGTTTGGGGGGTGAGAGGATTCACCAGAGACAGAGTGGGGAGCAGAACAGGCAGATTGACTGAAATACACTGCTGAGGGGAGCAGAGGTTGAGACAAGAGAGGTCTGCTGTGCCAGATGGGTAGCTCCCTGGCCAGAGATCGAACTCAGGCTGCAGTGGCTGGCAACAGCTTGATAGTGCTGAGACTTCAACCCCTGCGCTACCAGGGAGGCCCTCCTCATTAATTTTAAATTATATATCCTTGCACAAATTGCTATTGTCTCAATATCATAAATCCCTCTATTATTGTAATTATATTATAATTTTTCTTAAAAAAAATCAATTTTATTGCCCTGGTGTCTCACAAATATCTTGCAATGCATTCACTCTCTCTTGTGGATGACACTGATGTAACTATTTCCTGAGACTGGTCAGTGATATGGGTTGACTCCTGTTCTCACAAAAATGCACATGTTGTGCAGCTAAACCCTGATACCTCAGACGGTGAACTTATTTGAAAATAGTATTGCTGCAATGTAGTGAATTAAGAAGGGGTCAGAATGCAGTAGGGCAGGCCCCTTTTCCAATATGACTTGTATCCTCACAAGTCGGGGGGAAAGGGACAGAGAAACACACAAGCAGAACTTCATATGAAGATTAAAGCCGTTCTGCCACAAATCAAGGACTTATCAGAAAGGAGGAGAGAAAGAAGCCTGGGACAAATCTCTCAAGAGAGAAGGATAATATGATCCTGCACACACTTTGATTTCAGACTTCTGGGACTCAAAACAACAAGACAGTCTATTTCTGTTGTCCCAAGCCACTGAGCTTGTGGTAATTTACTATGGCAACCATAAGAAATTAATACTCTCAGTCAGATAATATCCTTATCTGACACACACGGAAATTACAAACTCAGAAAAGTCGAGTAATATGCCCTAGGTTTCACAGCTAGGAATGAGTTGGTCTTGGATTAAACTGAGATTTGTGTTACCTCACAGCCCACACATCGCAGCAGTACCTCCTGTGGGCGACCCCCGGCCCTCGTTGGTCCGGGGCGGGATGAGAGATCAGTGGGGTGTGGTGATTTTTCACCAGGCTAAAATTACCTTCCTTTATGAGATGATGCCCTTCCTGTTGTTTGTTTTTTCTTGTTGATTTTGCTAAGTTATCCTTTAATTTCTGAAATTATGATGAGAATGGACAGCAGTTTTGTTTTTTTTTTTTTTCAATATTCTTCATTTTGTTGGCAGTAAGAAAAACTGACAATTCAGTTAACCTATAAAAATTTGTTCTGAATGTTTTTGATCTATGAAATATAAAAGCTTGGGAACAACTGTTCTAATAATGCCTTTTAACAACCAAGAAATTTGCTCATGTGTAGCCACATTTAGTGATGGGGGGAAAAAGCTGTTTTCTCTATCAACTGAAAATACTCGTCCCTGTTCATATATAAAACGTCTGTACTAATGGTCAAAAGCTTTCATGGTCTTTCCAATAAATTAATCTGATATAATCCATTTGTATAGCTCAATTCAACAATATTCATACTGAAATTCAATAAAATTCAGACTTTTTCTTCGTTTTGCTGCCTTCCTTTTCCCTCCTTCTTAGTGAAGATTTCATATTTATCAGTAAAATTCTTCATTTGATTTTTGATTTTCATTTGATTCATTTTCTTTTGGGTTTAAGACCTGTTGGTCTGTGAAAACATCTGCTGATTAAATGAGGTCACCTCTGTTAAGTATCTAGAATATTTAAAAATTCTTAGTAAATGCTAGTTCCCTTCAAAGGAAAAGGTAAGAGAAATAAAGTTTTATGCATCCAAGAGGAATGGTTTTAGGGTTAAGGGAGAATATTAATGAACTTTATCCTTTGGCTGAGTAGTCAGTGATCCATAAATCAGTTTACAGAAATTCTGTTAGTCTATATTTTTATGAATTCATGCTCATGAATATGTGGTATTACTTGTGCATATATATGTAAATAAATATGTGAGAGAGAAAATTTGATATAAAGTGATATAAATATATAGTATATCGATGAATCACATACATCATTCCTAAAAATCTAATTGATGTGAATGAGTGTACCCACTTCAGATTCTGAGAAACCCAGAATGCAAAAAATCTTCATACACATAAGAGTTTGTTTCTTTGCTTTAATACTACCTGGTCCCCTAAAACCTATGCCCTCCAATTTTTCCTGTTGTGGGAAACATTAGCAAATGGGAAACTTTAGTTCTCTCTTTGCCAAAGTTATGTCAGATTCCAAATCAATGAAGGAGCAATTCTTTTATTCCATGAGTAATTATGAGAGTTTATGATGTCCTTTGCACTGTATTATTATGTTGGCTGTGAGAACTATGCAATCAAAATTAGATTTTCTGGGCCTCCCCGGTGGCACAGCAGTTGAGTGCTGGATTGTGAAGCTGCCCGCAGCCTCTGTAGCAGCGGTTAAATCCCCGGCTGCTCCCTGGCCACTGGAGGAGGGTCCCACATGGCGCGCAGACCTCTCCTGCCACCCGCTGCTCCCCTCAGCAGTATACTTCGGTCCTTCTGCCTGCTCTGCTCCCCACTCTGGCTCTGGTGAATTCTCTCACCCTCCCGCGCTTCTGACTGTACCCAGTGCTTGTATAAATAAATAAATAAATCTTTAAAAAAAAATTAGATTTTCTGTCTCCTAAGGAGCTCTTGGTCCAAGGAGTAGCAAGCATATAATAGTCCAATGCACAGTTATATAGAATATTGTATAAGGACTTTCATTAAGGTGCTACAGATATCTGCCCAGAGGAAGGGCCTCCAACTTCATCTGGGGGTGGTGAGAATGGTGTGTTGTCAAGAAGTCTATTTGGAAGATGAGAAATCTAAGATGAGTCCTAACATATGACGGGGAGATATTCAATTAAGAGAGCCAATTAGAGTGAGAGCATGTGATGTGCAAAGTCCAAAGGGCAAGGGATGAATCATGGGGAGTGGAATTCTATCTACTTATCAGCCACTCAACAACCTGAACACATGTGACAGAAAAAACTAACTTCAGCATTTAGGAATACCAGAGAATAATCAGTCCTTTTTTATGAACTTCTTCACTGCCACAAAGGCTGAATTAGAAAATGTCATGCTTTATAGTTAGATAGTCCTGATTCAGCCAAGCTGACCTTCATTAGCTCTTCACCTTCTCTGAATTAAACCTTGGTTCCTCATCTATTAAATGGGGATAGTAGTACCTATATCACAGAACTGTTGTGTTATTATGAAACCAAAAATCCAAAATATCTTGCTGCCTGTCACAAAATAGATGCCAGAGTAAATCTTAACTCACGTACTAAAATCCTTGTGTCATTGTGAAGAAGAACCTTTACCACTCACACCAACTCTCATTTCCCATTTGAATGGAGTTAGTTGCTTCCTAGACTAGTTGTTTCCAAACTGATTGCTGACACCATCATGTAGAACAAATTTTGAGCACATCCCCCAGGATTGAAAGTTGTAGGATACACAACCAAATTGCTATGGCACATTATGCACATTATAAAACCTATACCAAAGAGAAATTAAAGGGTGAGATGAACAATCAGGATAAAGGGAAAGGCTGTCATCTTGCATACCCTTGAGATGCATATGCCTGCTTTGGAAAATATTAAGCACTCAGAGAGAAAAAGACCTCATTTTATTTATTCATGGAATACCTAGCAGCACAGACCAAGTACTAAAGAAGTGTTTAGGAACTGAAGAGGTAATTCTGAGGCATTTAGGGAAAATAAAACAACCGGATGGCCTACTAAAGTCACTCCCTGTCCAAAACGGTTTTTATATTTTTAATATTAACATGCACTTTAATAACAACAAAAATTTAATATATTAAAATTGCTTAACAACCAAAAGTAACTACTTCCCTTTCCAAAGAGCTAATAGAAAGTATTTTTTAAGAGATTAATAGAAATAATGACCATTTACTGAGCACTTATAAGAGGCAAACACTATGTGAATCACTTTATATGAACTTTCTTATTATTTGGTCTTTAATCAGTTACCACATTGCATCTCTGCAGAGGGCATCAAACTTTAGCGTATATCAGGGGTCTGCAGACCAAAACTATCTCCTTTTGTACACGCCATCAGCTAAGAAAGTTTTTCACATTTTTCATCGGATGGGGGAAAAAAGGATAAATAATGCTTTCTGGCACATGAAAATTATATAACATGCAAATTTCAATGCCCATAATGTTTAGTTGGAATATAGCCATAACCTGTCCATTTCTGTATTATCAGTGACTGCTTTTACAATACAATGGCAGCGTTGATCAGTTGCAATAAAGACAATGTGGCCCATAAAAATAAAAAACTTAGTATCTGACCCTCTTCATGTTTACAGTGTGGTAACTGCTGGCTTATGGCATGGATTACCTTGGAATTACGTGGGCTACAGCTCCCATGGTTGTAAGTCCTGGTCACCATAACAATCACTTTTCCATTCAACTAGGAAATGGCAGAACGAGAGGCTTTTGGAGCAAATCTTTAAAGGCTAAAATATACCCTTCATTTCTCTGTCAGTCCAGGCCCTTTTCTCTGATGGTTACTTTTGGCTGTGGACTTAGCCCAGCCAATGTAGCAGCCTCACTCCCTCTTCATCTTTTCTGTGTTCTCCTGCCGAAGTTTTAAATTGTCATGGCTAAGGACAGAGTAAAACGGAGAATGGGTCAGTGGAACAAAAGCACAATTCCCTCATTCAGAAGTACCTCCTCGAGTCTCTCAAATGCACACTTGGCCCCTGAATATGAAGCTGTGCTGCCTCCGGCTGCGCTGGAAGTGATGACAAGGACATGTGAGAGAAGGGTGGAAACCGCATTGCTGGCTCGCTGCCTGCAGAGACTCAGCAGCTTATCTTCTTTCCCAAGGAACTTCAAACTTACACTGGCTCAGCTGGTTCTTTCCAGGTGCCTCTAACAAGCTACTCTGTCCAACTGAGATCAGAAGTCGTAGATGAGACTCTGCCTATGCTTTTCTGTCCTGGAGAATATGCCCCTTTTTTCTAATCCTCATTGTACCAGACACCTATGGTTTCGGTCACTCCTGGGGAGTCACGTGGATACTGTAAGCTGCAAATCACAGTAACTTCTTCTTGGACAGTACCCTGGAGTCCAGGTACATTAACATATTTCTGTGGCTGACAATTACAGGCAGAATTTCTCTTCTAAGTATGAACATGTAATGCTGGCAAGGCATCAAGTATGTAAAGAAGTGGGGCTGGCATTCACATAGGTTAATCTCATTGAATCCTCTCAGCAAATACAGATTCCTTATCCCCGTTTTATAGACAGACACTAATACTCCAGAGGAATTAAGCAACATCTACTTTGTCTGCAGCTGGTGAGTCCGGGTTTCCAATCTCTAGCTCTCTGAGTCCTAAATGCCTATTAATTCAGTAAAGGAGCCCCCAATATAGAAGTCAGTTTTTGTCATGCTATTCATTAAAAAACAAGCAAGCCAATTTCAGCTTGTCCCTCAAAATAGTGCCATGATTCTTCACTGTGACGGGGACACCTCATGGTATCAGGTGGATGGCAGGGAGGTTTTAACACCTGAACAAATCATTTAAGCAAACGGATCCTCTGTAAGTCTGTAAAATGAGAATAACTTGCCTACCCTGCAGAGTTTTGTGAGGATTATATAAAAGAATGTGATATTCCCTTTTTATGAAAAGTTCAGAGTAGATAAATCTATCCAGACAGAAAGCAGATTGGTGGCAGCCTAGGGTCCAGACAGGGGGTTCGGGGGGGAAATGGTGAGTGACTTTAAATGGGTATGGAGTTTTCATTTGCGGGGGAGGAAAAAACTCTGAAATTGTTTGTGGTGATGGCTGCACAGATGTGAATATCATTTAACTGTATACTTTAAATGGGTGAAAAATATGATATATGAATTAAAAAATAATGTAGGGGAAGTGCTTAGCATGATACCTGGCACAACTAAATGCTTTGTTAAGTGTTCGTATTTTTATTGTTTCGAGGCAAAGGCTGACTGGTTTGCCAAGTTCACTTCTACTTCTGTTAGAGCACAGAACTAAACTCCACCCTCAAAATTAGGTGTGGCATGTGTCTGCGTTCAGGCTGAGGGAATGTGAATTCTGGCTGAGGGGAAGGACTGGGCTGGCCCATCAAAACATTCCCCTTGCAAGTCTTCATGTTCTCTTTCCCTCCCACCAGCTTTATGCAAACGAATGCTTTGACCCTGGAAGCCACATGTTGAAGATGGAGGAGGCACCGCTTGGAAGAGTCCTGAATCGCTGCCAGAGCACAGTTGCGATAGGTTTTGGGCTTCATGAAGAAAAAAACAGCTATTGCGCTTAAACACTATTTATTTTGAGATGTAACATGAGGTAGTGTTATTGTAGCTAATACATTTATCACTGTCTCTCAAATTGTCTGAAATAAACTGACAGTGTATTGGCAGGCCATGCTGGGTGAGTGTGGGTCCTGAGGAGAAGCATGCAGGACAGATGATCTGGCAAAAACATCCACCCGGTCAATGCTGCTCATGGTTCGTGGACAATCTTAAGACTGCTAATTACTTTTCCTGACTTGAGGAAGCTGAGTCCTTTTTTGCCTTCTAGTCATTTCTAGAAGTTCCAAATGGATAGCAGGCAATATGCTCTCAGACCACGAGCAGCAACAGGATGTGGAGAAAACTCAGGCAGCTGTGTGTGTGCCACGGCTCTTCTCTCCTGCTTTTCATTGTGGAGGAGGAGTCCCTTATCCGGAATACTATACGAATCAAAGGTACGGGCTAATCGGCTTATGTACTATCCTTGCTCAGTGCCTTCTCAAGCTGTGTCCTTTATTTGCTAAATGTGGGAGGCAAATAGAGCTATTACCTCTCTTGGTGAGTAATGCCAAACTATTTGATTGTCACGTCTCCCATTCAGAAGGTTTGCTGCCCGAAGGCCAAGGTCTGAGTGCTGCTTTAGAAAAGGCGACACAGGTTATGTGACAACAAAGGGTGGTAGCTTAGAGCAGCATGGTCAATAGCTTAGAGCAGCATGGTCACTAGCATCTGCCAGGTTTCTGAGCTCCTTCTCTCATGAAAGTCTACCCACTGAGGCCCCCCATGCTTTCCCTTTCTCACAGACGGACACCCTCAGGATTGGTGGTCACATAAAAAGAATGTGCATTCGGATTTTACAAGAAAAGCTAATGATTCCTGAGTCTTTACTGTAAAGTCCTGTTACATGGCTTGCTTAATCTTCTGAAACTTATTACATAAGCATTGTTATTATCCCCACTTGTGAGATAAGGAAACTGAGGCTCAGAAAGGTGGAACAAAGCAGCATTCCCGTGATCACCCAGGCAGTCAGCAGCAGAGCTGGGCCTCTAACCAGACCCAGAGAGATGCCCAGAGCCCACATTTCCAGCCACTATGCCCTTCCTGTCTCTGCAGAAATGAAGTTCGTTAGCAAGGTGAATGGATTTTTTATTAGAGAATCCAGGATGTCCAAAGTCAAGATGTATACCTTGCTCACTGCACAGGCAGAACGCCCTACAAAGCTGCTGGCATTCGGCACATGAAGAGCCTGTGAGAATAATGAGATAGGAACAAGGAAGAACAAAGGCATTATTCAGGGCCCTAGAGACCAGCCTGCCTAAACATGATTCATAAAGTCATCCACGGACTCAGACCTCATAGGCCAGGAATATCAGATCATTGCAGGTAGAAATATGCACTTCCAGATAGAAAGCACGTCTTCTTGCTGAAAATAGCTTCCCTCCCCCAGCACAAAATCATAAAGACAGAGTCTAAATATCTTTCTGCTTCCTGTTTGCCAGGCGGTTTCTTTTTCACTTCAACCTCACGACCCATTGTTTCTCTCATTTCTTCTTAGTGTGCTCTATTGAAACCAGATGGAGCAGCAGCATTCTGAAGCTTATTCTGAAACCCAGGGGATATGCATCATAAATAAATAAACAATGCACAATTGATAAATCAAGCGGGAATGAGTTTAACAGTTGAGATGGAAAAGTAGCTGAAAAAGTGCTCGCTGATGAAAGATCTGCATGTGACCCAGGTACTCCTCACTTGAACAGGCGGCCCACACAGGCTGATTTCATTAAGCTAGGGGCTCGGGACAGAAGCATTATGGAGGTAGATGCCACTGGCCACTTTGCATCACCAATATGCTGATCCATCTTGTTCACCACTTATAACAGCAAGACATTTTCAAGTGCTGTTTTTCTTTTAATACATTCTCCTTCCTTTAAGTCTTATATAATTCAATTATCATCCCATGTGAGAACTGGTTTAAAGAGAAACTTAAGTAGAGTTAATTCACTGTGAAGGGTTATGGACGTTATATTTACTGCAGAGAGTCACCAGCTGTGTCATGGAGTATCTATTATATTCCTGACCTCACACCAGGTTCTGGGAACACAAATGTGTATTAAGAGCCAGCCTGTGGCCTTAGGAGTTTATGTCCTGGTAGCTGAGAGATATATTCAATCGCTGAGTAAAGAAGCGTTCCAGATAGCAGGGACCAAGAAAATGTGCACGATGTCTAGTGATCAGCTCTAAAGAGGGAGGGGATATGTGTAGAGAGTGGCAGAGAACAGAGGTTGCAGAGCAGTGAAGAAAATCCATCTGTCTCACCAGAAGGTCCTAGCACCTGCTGTCTACCAAGGAGAAGCGCTCAAGATGATGGTATTGAATAAGGGGGCTGTTGTACATAGTGACATGAACAACTGCAGGTTGGGGTGATTGCAGACAATTGAAGCCAAGCGGGAAACAGGACCCACAGGAGAGAAATGAGTGGCGGGCCTGGCGGTTGGGGTGGGGGATCCTTCGTTGTAGTGTGGGTCAAGTCCCACCTGCGGTGACAGCACTCCAAAAACCTGAAACAACAGCATAAACATGATCTGGTTTGCACTTTAGAAGATCACCGTGGCAACCATGTGGAGGCTGGGCTGGAGGTGTGGAGGCTGCAGCAGAGAGAGAACAGTCAGGAGGCGCCTGCAGCAGTCCAGGTGGGAGGGACAGAGTTTGATCTTGTGAGGCAGCAGTGGGGATAGAGAAAGGAACAGAGGACAAGTGTCAAGAGGGTAGAAATCTGGTCTGGGTTCTACTGCCAGCTTTGATAACAACCTCTCTAAGGCCTAAGTGACCTTAGACTAATAAGTCCTTTTTCTGGACTTCTCCCCACTTGTTGGGTGAGGCATAGGATAACATTCTGTGGCTGTATAATAAGGCATTTTGCTCATGCATTTGGTTGTTATTTTTCATTCAATAATAGTCAGGCTCTATTTCTTGATTCATATTTTTAGGGGTCTTGCTATGAAAAGGCAAACGAGTAGCACAGTATCTCAGCCAAGGGAAAAATGACACTTAAAGTTCAAAAGCATTTGCTCATCATGCAGTAGATGCAAAAGGTACGTCATGATGTACTATAGGTAAGGTGGTCTCAGCTAATTGGGAAATGAAGCAGCCTGTGATTTATCTAATTCTACAACTCCTGACTTAGTTCCTGTGAACAGAGCATTATGTCTCCCATAGTGAAGAGAGGAATCAGACACTGCCATTGACAGGAAGGGGCTGAGAGCCCCAAGTGAAGTGATATTTTATTAGAGTCGCAAGGCACTGTGGGAGTACAGAGATAAGATAGTTTGCACCAAGTGGAAAGTCCTCCTTCAATGTTTATCATAGTGAACAGAAGTATGGCTTCCCTTTTCTGTGATCCAATAGAAAAGAGTTCCCTCCATAAAAGCAGACAAAACAAGATGTCGTTCACTTTACTTTAAAAAATAAGATCTTTTCACGGGTGAGGTCCTCTATTAACAGTTTTATATAAGAGGAACAAGACACTCTGCTTAAGAAAATATGGTGCTTATAAGACTTTTGTTTATAATATTTTGTGGGAGGAGGAAGCAGAGAAGGTTGGATTCTATTACTTCTATCAAGCAATCCAAAATGCCTTGCACAGTGCATCTATAATAGGTGCTCAATAGGGCCTCCTCGGTGGAGCAGTGGGTTGAGCGCAGCACTGTGAAGCTGTCCGCAGCCTCTGCAGCGCCGGCTTGATTCCTGGCTGGCCAGGGAGATTCCCACATGGTGCAGTAGACCTCTCCTGTCTCGCCCGCTGCTCCCCACAGCAGCGTACTTCTCGGACAGTCAGCCTGTTCTGCTCCCTGCTCTGTCTGTGGTGAATTCTCTCACCCTCCCGCACCTCTGGCTTGTCCCCCAATGCTTGTATAAATAAATAAATCTTTTTTAAAAAATAGGTGCTCAATAAATAAATGTTCAACTAAAGTGAATATCGGAATTTTTACTGAAAGGAAGAAAATGGAATTGACTCTAAAATAATACACTTGATATTCAGTGATCCAAAGAACATAGGAAAACTTATTTTTATGTAAGTCATGAGCAATTACTCAAAATATAGGCAACTGACTTACTGTGATACTAATTCAAACAAGTTTGCAAGCAGCACGTCTATATTCTCAATGTTTTGGGAAGCAGGTGGCAGCAAATTTCTTTTAAGAGGTTTTGATTGCCTACAGTTATACCACCCTGGACTAACCTGATCTTGGGAGCTAAGTAGCTTAGCTTTGATTCATCTCACTTGGTTTCTTAAACCAAGGTAAGTTCAGCTTTTTGGAGATCTCCTTAAGAGAAATCAATTTATAATCCTTTAAATAAAACAAGCACTTTTCCATAAAGAAGAAAAAGGAGTGTGTTGGGGTATGCAAAGAGAATTCCACAAGTGGCCTAGCAGAGAAAAGTTGCTGACTTGACAGTGAGGTAGCATATGTAAAGAGCTTTGGAAAAAACAAAGAGGTTAACAATGCAGGTGGGCTGAAAAAAGAACATGCACCACATTTTGGTATTTCCAGCACTAAGAGTCAGCTGTTAAGAATTATATTGTGTAATCAAAAACCTTTAACAAACAAATGATTCTAAAGAATTGGGGATAGGTTTGGCTGATGGACTCTGCACCCTGTTGTAGGTTGACTAAGTGAAAATGTGTTGTCTTCCACTGGCAGGTTCTGGAAAACACAGTGATTTCACATGGGGACTTTTGCTCACAGGCCGGCGTAGAATGTCATCTGGCCTTGGCTACTTACTAGTTGTTATGACCTTGGACAAATCACTTAACCTTACATGAGCCTCAATCCCCATTTGCAATTGAAAACAATAAAGCTTCCCTTATCAGGTTGTTATGGGGAGTACATGAGATACTAAATGCAAACCGCTTAGTGCAGTGCCTGACATATAACAAGTATAGTAACTATTAGTATTATAATTAGTATTACTGAAAGGGAAATGTTCTTTCCAAAATTGGCTAAAAACTTGTTTCAAGCATTTCTGAGATTAAAATAAAATATATGGAAGATGGGTTTGAAGAAATGGGAGTGGGTGTTTCATTTTAATATAATTGTAATGTGCTGAAGAACACAGCAGTATCGTGTGCCAATCACTAACACTTTCTCAGAGTAAGATGATCTTGTGAGTGAACCCGGACTGCAAGCCCAGTGTCTTATTAACTACATGCTTTCATGTGTCTCTTCTGAATGCTTTTGAATAATAAAATACAAAAAAACTTCAGCCTGGAAGGACTTTGATTTTAATCTCACCTCCATCACTTAATAATTATGTTCTGGCAAAACAAAAACCTTCTGAGGCCCGGTTTTCACATCTATAAAATAAGCTAATAATTGTGCTTACAGTTTGCATGATTTTAAAAGAATTACAATATGATATCAATATTCTTCTTTATCATCATCATCATCATCACCATCATCTTTACCATCATCTTTATCATCATCATGCTCACTGAGTTCTGTGTGCCAAGCTCTGGCAGCCTTTCTTAAAATATCTCACCCTTACCACATCCTATGTTGCCTTCCAGAAGTGTGGTTGTAAAGTCAGGTTCTGAAGCCAAGCACTCAAAACAAGTCAGCTGGAGTCAGGTAGCTGACAGGCAGAAGGCTGCTAAATGGTAACCCAAAATAATAATAGTAGTTCTTGCTGCTTTAGAGATAGCCCGGTCTTTGACAAACAGGTGATGGGCTGCAGATTGAGGTCTAAGCAGAGCAGGGAAAATAGTTCTGAATATATGCAAACATCAGAGGCTTTGGGACCTGCAGTGAAGCTTCAAGTTTCCAAGAGTTTTCACATGTAACTGCTCCCCAGGTGTCTAGTATAGTCATCCACCGGGGCCTGATGAAGGCGCACAGGGAGATTAGCCTCCCTAAGTGTCCAACACATTGAAAAGGATGGAGAGAAGAAAGCAAAGCACATCATCTGCTCATTCTAGTCTGCCTCCAGGAGACTCAGAGCAGGGCCGTGGGGAGAAAGCAGAAGAGGGAGCAGATGTGGGTGCTGCTGCCCCGGGGTGAGTGCGGTAGCTTTCATTTCCTTCTAGGATGACCTACAGATTTCTGTGACAGCAATTCAATTTATTTTGGTCAAAGTTAACTGGCATAGGGAAATTCTCACTTTCTCTTGACTTTACTAAAGTTATTGAAGCTCCCTGGGCTCTAGTTTCAAATTCGAAACTGGGCTAATAAAATTATGGCACAATTTACATTGGGCAAGCATGCACTTGTACAAAATAGTAGGGATACTTCTGCACAAAAAGAGGTTAAAATATCATGCACAACAGAAACAATAGTATGCTCCCTTTGGTTGGAATAAAGGGGTTAAACAAAGCAATATGCATTCATGTACGCTTATAATTTGCTGTATTTACAAAGGAAACTCCAGAAAGAAGCACAAAAAACCAGTGGTTAGCTATATAAGGTGAATGGGGGGCAGGGGAGAAAAGGGAATTCCATAAATATCTTATAAAATCAAATATTTAAGTCATTTTACTATCCTAATAAAATTAGGATAGTAATTAGTACACAAGATTGGTTTAAAGAATAAATGGAGTAATGAGTTTAAAGAACTAGCACGGGGCCGAACACATAGCAAGCATTAATGACACACTAGTGAGGATTATTACCTATTTTTGAGAAAGCATGGGAAGGCCTATAATTCTTGGCCTATACTTCCTATTCCGGGGCCAAAGAGAACTAGAGATAAGTTTCCAGAAGCTGGCAGCTGGGCTGTTGTCGGAGCTGAGAAAACAGAAAGGCCATGATAACCTGTCTCCTCCTAGATCATCCAGTCTTAATCCAAGGAGCTCTGGGTAAAAACGCAGAAAAAAAGATAGACTCTTAGGAACTACAACATAGTGGGTTAAAGGGAGTGGAAAGGTTTAGAACTCCAACACAAACCAGATCCATCTATGACTTAGAAATTATTTAAAAACAAGCATGTCTCAGAACAAAACACAAGAAAAGATGAACAGATGCCAGTGAAATGTCATTTACTTTCACTGTGTTGCCAAAAAAACTCCAGTGTCCTTAAAGGTTACATCTTAGTGGATTTATTGGAAATGCCACAATGGAATGAGAATAATAAAAATAAAAACTCTGCTTGAATAGAACCCTTTCGACAGTTACAAAATTAAAATTCTACTCTTTTGGTTCCATCTGTACTAGAAAAGAAGATTTAATAATCAGATACAACATGCAGGAAATTATAAGGAGTCATGAGTATTCAGATATTATAACCCAAACAACTGTTCTAGTATTGCCTGTTTTATTTAAAGTTATGCTAAGTGACTAACAAAATAAAGATACTAATTCTTAGTTCCTTTAGGTTTAAAGCACAGCTTTTGGAACACAGACAGTACCATTTGGAGCAGTTGTTAGGAAAATGGCACACACCAGGATTCCTGTAAGTAGGTTCTATAAAAGGAGTAAACAGGCAGGGGCCTGGGAGATGG